ATCAACAATAGCCAAAGTATGGAAAGAGCCCATCCATAGATGAATGAACGGCTAAAGAAGATGTGGTATATATATACAATAGACTATTACTTGGCAATCAAAAAGAGTGAAATCTTGCCATTTGTAACTACATGGATGGAACTAGAGGGTATTATGCTAAGCGAAATTAGTCAGAGAAAGACAAATATCATATGACTTCACTCATATGATGAATTTAAGATACAAAACAGACAAACACAAGGGAAGGAAAGCAAAAATAATATAAAAACAGGGAGGGGGATAAAACATAAGAGACTCTTAAATACGGAGAGCAAACAGAGGGTTGCTGGAGGGGTTGTGGGAGAGGGGATGGGCTAAATGGGTAAGAAGCATTAAGGAAATCATTGTTGCATTATATGCTAACTAACTTGGATGTAAATTAAAAAAAATGTTTAAGTAATACTTTGTATATTTATTTGTCTACACTTAATTTATACATACCATCATACAGAATTCAAAAGGCACTAAAAGGTGAAAAGGAAAAGGAAGTCACCACCCTATATCTCTGCCACTCGGCTCTTCTCCCTGTAACCATAACACTCATTGTTCTTAAACTTGCTCTTTGCACATAATAACCTGTCTCAGATCCCTTTCCCCATCAGTGTCTGTGAAATAGTAGTCTATGGTATGAACACACCATTATTTAATTTAACCAGTCCCTTGTTGATGGACACTGTTATCCATTTTCTGCCATTGGAAGTAATGCAATGACTGTCCTTGTACGTATGGTATCTCTGCTCATGTGCAAGAACTGCATGATGCATTATTATTTTCCCAGTGCAGCTCTTCCCATCACGTAATCTTGCACATTTATGGGGGAAGGCAAAGTGGAATCGTTTCAGCCTCCTTTTCCTCTTATTTTAAAACCTTACATGGCCACATCTGTGTATCCCCTTCCCACAGATCTCCAAAAAGAGGAAAGAGGAATCTCAAGCACTTTGTGCCATCTTCCTCCCCACAGTCTCTTAATAAGCCTGCCTGTTTTTGAAGCTTATTGAACTAAATGAAAAGCACTAGAGAGAGCAGGGAATGACAATGAGCTCCGGAAACAGCGGACTGCTCAAATACTTGAAATATTTTTTCCTGCCTGCAATATGCACACTGATTGAAAATTTCAACAAAGGCATTCTCAGAAACCACGAAAGAGAAGAGGGTCCTTATAATCAACAAAAAATTTACCATGACCACTTGAGTCTTGAATGTGAGCTTTAAAAAATCCAGTTAGTTGGGGAGGTGGGGGGTGGAGGATAAAAAGGCACCACTACTTTTGAATGTAGTATTTTCCTGGTCTGTTCTTTAAACCAAATCACAGATTTTTCAGGATTTTGGAAAAGAAAATAATTGCCTCAGTTGTGTGGGTGCCTTTGCCAGATTGGGTGACCTTCTGGTGGACCATAGAGTCCACTGAATCTTCTGAGTGTCCTGTGGTCAGTCCCTCAACCTGAGAAAGAATGATCTGTCCTGAGCAGCACCTCCTGGCTATCAGAATAGAGCCAGAGGGCTATGTTCACGCTTCTATGAATTTACCTTCCATCTTCCTACTGCCCTGTGAAAGGACTCATTCATTCTCTTACTTCTAAAGGGGCACCTAATATTCCTATGGGATGGTTAGAGCTGGGGACCAAAGAAAGGCAAGCACACTACCACAGCCAGCATGAAAGGAACTCCTAAGATATCTGTGAGTTTCCATTTTATTAATATAATTCCTTTTCACAGAAGTATAATTCACATACCAAAAAAGGCCCTTTTTTGGTGTATATACAAGTTTTGATCAATGTATCATCTGTGTAACCACAACCACAATGAACATATAGAACATTGCTATCACAGCTAGGAATTTTCTGTCCTGGCAAGTTGCAGTCAAAAATACCCCCACCCACCTCCTCATTCCCAGACAGCCTGACCCTTCTTTCACTCTAGATTACTTTTGCTTGTAAAATTTCATACAAATGGACTCGCTTCATCTTGTTTCACGCATCCATTATTTTCCTTCCTACCACAGAGTAGTATTCTGTCTTAGGGATATCCATAATTTGTTGATCCACTTGCCTGTTGCTTTGGGTTGCTTCCAGCTTGAAGCTGCTATGAATACAGCTGCCATAAACACTCACGTACAATCTTCTTGTGGACATATGTTTTTATTTCTCCCGGGAAAATTCCAAAGAGTGTTATTGCTGGGTCATACAGGCTATGCCTATTAACTTGATAGAAACTGCCGAGTATGTTTGTATTTTATAAACAGGCTGTGTCCTGTTACATTCCCAACAACAATGTACAAGATTTCCAATTGTTCCACATCCCCATCAACACTTGGTATTGTCCAATTTTTTTAGCCATTTTAGTGGTATCTTATTGTTTTGATTTGCATTTCCCTGGTGACTAATGATGTCAAATATCTTCTCGTGCTTTTTGACCATTTACATGTCTTTTGTGAAATCTCCTTAACTGTTTTTTATCGGGTGCTTGTCTTCTCATTAAATTATAACAGCTTGGGGTACCAGGGTGGCTCAGCTGGTTGAATGTCCGACTCTTGATCTTGGCTCAGGTCACGATCTCAAGGTTCATGAGTTCAAGCCCCATATTGGACTCTGTGCTGACAGGACAGAGCCTGCTTGGAATTCTCTCTCTCTCTCTCTCTCTCTCTCTCTCAAAATAAATAAATAAATAAATAAATAAATAAATAAATAAATAAATAAATAAATAAATAAATAATAACAGCTCTTTGTACATTCTAAGTAAGTCCTTTGTCTCACAAATGTAATGTGAGTATTTTCTGGGACCAACTTTATATCTTCAGTAGCTAGCACTGTGCCTGGCACATTATAGCAGGTGGCCAGGTCATACTGAACATTAGAAGTTTTCATCAGGGACACCTTGATGGCTCAGTCACTTAAGCTTCTGACTTCGGCTCAAGTCATGATCTCACATTTCACCAGTTCTAGCCCTGCATTGGGCTCCATGCTGATAGCGCGTGGCCTGCTTGAGATCCTCTCTCTCTTTCTCTGACCCTTCTGTGCTTTCTTGCTTGCTCTCTCTCTCTCTCTCTCTCAAACTAAATAAACTTAAAAAAAAAGTTATCATTGGGCAGAAAGTAGCATTTGTAGAGGCCAAGACTACCAATTCCAACTCCTTTATAGAGAGTCTCTGAATCCACACAGCCCCTTTCTCTCTCTCAAAATTCAAGGGGAAATGGAAAAAAAGAGTCTACAAACCAACAGGTGTTTGACATCACACACTGCACATTTACTCGCCAATATTGATTTCATAGTCAGAAAAGGAAGCCTAGTTAGGATATCAGATTTACTAAGCTGGGTCACACCATGTATACATCTATATGTTTATGCTTATTTACAGATTCGTTCTGAGACAATTGCCACTTATGCTCTCTGTGGCTTTGCTAATTTCGGTTCCCTAGGAATAGTGATCGGCGGACTCAGTAAGTGAAAAGAATATACTTTCAATATCCATCTTGCTCTGTAACATTATTTGTGTCAGGGGAAAAAAAGGCCCTGGGACAGGAATAAATCCTTTGGGGTCCATTTTTCATCCCTGCTCTGCAATATAGTTTTCCCATGTATATCCAAGCCAACCTCAGGAAGAATTTGTCCAAATGTACAAGTTCTTCTCCACCCAGGGGTGAGATAGGTTCCACTTTGTATGCCAATTGCAGATTTCTAACGGTCAGGTGAGGAAGGATTCTGAGGCCCAATGAAAGTGGGAAAATGCTGTGAATAGTTAGTGATGTCTGCACAGAAGTAGATGGTGACGATGAGTTGCAGATCTTTGGATCTTTCCTTGAAATTTGTTTGGCCTTGCATGCCCTCCATATACTATGGTGAAATTTAGGATAAAACTTAGGACTTGTTTCCTCTGTAGAAAATGGAAGAGTCTGGGGTGCCTGGGTGGCTCAGTTAGTTGAGTGTCCAACTCTTGATTTCGGCTCAGGTCATGATCTCACGGTTTGTGAGTTTGAGGCCTGCGTAGGGCTCTGCACTGACAGCCCAGAGACTGGTTGGGGTTCTCTCTCTCCTTCTCTCTCTGCATCCCCCTTCCTCTCTATCTCACTCTCTCTCTCTCTCAAAAATAAATAAGTAAACTTAAAAAAAAATAAAAAGAAAATGGAAACCTCTGGGCCTTCTTGTATGAACAAGTTTCTTCCCTTCCTCCCATGCCAGAGAACTTCTCTGGACATGCAACTAATTCATCACTAAGCTCTTGAATCTTGATTTTCCCAGCTAATTTGGAAAAAAAGAAAAGTCACTGACCTGACATGCCTAGCCTCAGAACAGTTCTCAGAGGCTGGGAATTTGGAATTCTAATTAACAGTCTCAACATTAATCTCATATTTTCATGTTCCCCAGCATCCATGGCTCCTTCCAGAAAGCATGATATCGCCTCAGGGGCAGTGAGAGCTCTGATCGCTGGGACCGTCGCCTGCTTCATGACAGCCTGCATTGCAGGTACCGCCTGCTGTCCTCTGTGTCCTATCTCCCCAAATCCACAGAATGGCAGCTTTTAGGGGGGGGGGGCATGCCTCCAACCCAAATGTGCAGCATATGCCACCACAGAAAGCTGAGAGGCAGAGCTGCTGTTGAGCATATTGCCAAGTGAATTGTGCAGAGCATGGTGGAGAAGCTAAGAACAGAAGGAAGGCTCGGTAACATTAATTAATAAAATAAATGGCACTTTTCCACTTCCAGGGATGCTCTCCAGCACCCCAGTAGACATCAACTGCCATCTCATTTTGGAGAATGCCTTCAATTCCAGTTCGCCTGCAAACACCACTGAGGTGGTATCTTGTTGTCAAAGTCTATTGAACAGGTAGTGTATTCTTGGTTATAACTTCTGCCATTAGTAATAGACATATTAGGCCTAAAGATGCAATCCACTTCTTTTTATAACTTTATAACTGTTTAAAAATGAGAACTTGTGCAGCAATTCTAAACCACCTTTCATTTTGACATTTCTCAGCTAAGACTAGGATCTATAATACTAGCTAGTGCTGCGCAAGCATTTCTTATGCCCCAACTTTGCGATAGGCACTTTGTATGAATTCTCTCACTTAAACCTTGAAACCACAGCATAAGTTTGGAACTATTGCTCTTTTTAGTGTTTGATAAACTTGGGGCTGGAGAAGGCTCTACCACTTTCCCAAGCAAAATGAATGTAAGCACAATCAAGATACAAAATTTAGGTTTTTCTGCCCACAGAGCCCATGCCCTTGACTAGCTAGCTGGTACTGCCTCTCTTTCAAGGGGATCAAGCCGTGCAGGCTGTCCTGACGACATGGTGACAGTGATGATGTTGGGCTACAGTGCATGACAGACCACCAGTGACCCTTACTGGCCACTCTCACCCTCTATAGTTTCTATCTGCAAAATCAATATCCCTACCCTAGGTGACCTTCTTAAGGTGCAGGTGTTTTATGAGGATTGATTCTTTGTTTATTCTGGAAGACAGAGGGGGAATCCTTGAGGCCAAACAGGATTTCAAAGTCAAAAACTAATTCTCTGGTGCCTCTGTCCTTAATCCACCCTAACCTGAATGTGAGGGAAGAAATCAGCTTCCTGCCCTTTGCTACTTTTAATGTGTCATCTTCTGCTCATCTACTGTCTCTGTCTTCAAAGACTCAACTAACTGTTTTATTCAACTTTCCACCAGCACTATTGTCAATGGTCCTGGTGACGTCATCCCAGGAGGAAACCACACCTTGACTTCTTTAAGGGGCTGCTGCACATTGCTGACTCCACCAACACTGAACTGCAGTTGGATCCCTAATGCATTTTGAGTTCAGCTACTTCTCCAACAGAACTCTAGGTACAGTTGCTGAATTTTCTAGTTTGGGGAGGAAAAGAAAAACTGTTCTTCACAGATGGAAATTCCCATCATGGAATCAGCTTTCACTGGAAAGAAGAAAAACAGGAATGAACACTGCAGATCTCCAGCATCATCCCCCTCTCCGGCCCTCCCTTCCCCAAACCCTTCCCCACTGACAACCACTATAATATCTCAAGATGTGTCTCCAGTCCCAGAGATGTTTTCTGACCCTAGAATTTTATGATAGTTTGACCAGAATACAGATATAAATGGTTGCTCATGACAACGGGACTATGGCTCAGCCACACCCAGAGTGGCTCACTTCTCAAACATCTCAGGGGAAGTCACTGCATTCACCTGGACCTTGAATCTCACATGGAGAATCGTTTATCACCCAGTCATTGCCTGCCCTGGGGAGGTCCTACAGAAATCAAGAGTGCACCAGGATTACATTTAGACCGTTCTAAAACCAGGTTTTAAATCCCATGTGCTTAGTTAGACCAGTCAGCTTACCCCCAAACTATGGTGTAATAACAAATAAGCCAAAAACCGTGGTGACTTACAAGTTTATTTTTCCCCTCACACCATATGCTTATGGAGGGTTGATTTGGGCTGTATTTCATGTTGTCTTCACTTCCAGAACCCAGGCTAAAGGAGCAGCCACTATGTGGGGTATACTGGGACAGGGGGGGAAAGGTGGCCCTTAAATTTTCTGCTAGGGAGAACCCTTCACTTCTACTACCTTCCATTACCTGAAGTTAATCATATGACAAGCACAATGTCAATGGTTATGGATGAATTATCCTGTCCTCGGGAGGGATAGTGAGTATTTTGAAGAAACAACATGATATACTATGTGGATGCATGATTTCCATGTTTCCCTTCAATGTGTCAACATGTTATAGAGTGTAACTGAAAGCCTACTCATGCATAAATTTGGTTATGTTACTGGTGACAACACAGGAAAATGGCACTACTTTTCATTCAAAAGGCCACTTAAGGACCATTTGAGAAGAGGAATAATTCCTGGTTATTGAAACCCTTCCACCAATACTTCCATTAACCAGGAAAGAATCAGCATCAAAGTTGCTTACTGAGTATCAAAGAAGAACCTTAATGGGTTCTGAGATTTGATATGTGTCAGAAGAAGAATCCAGAGTCAATGGCAGGGTGCTCTTTAATGAAATGCTCATTGCCAATTCTCTTAATAGCTCAAAGACCACATTGTGTGAGGAAACACAAATACCAATGACTGAGCCAAAAGGTGATTCACAAGTAAGAAAAAATGCGGGAAAAGGTTTGGGAATACCTGAAGTAATTTATTTTATTTATGCTTTCTTTCTTGTTCATGCACAACTTTTTGAAATATATATGTAAATACCTTGGGGCGTGTGTGTGTGTGTGTGTGTGTGTGTGTGTGGCGGTGGTGGTAAAGGATGAAATTAAATACCCAAAGGATTCTTAAATTTTTTTTTAATGTTTATTTATTTTTGACAGAGAAAGAGAGAGTGTGTGAGGGGGGCAGGGGATAGAGAGAGAGGGAGACACAGAATCTGAAGCAGTCTCCAGGCTCCAAGACCTGAGAGAAAGTCACACACTTAACCTACTGAACCACCCAGATGCCCTGAAAAGACTCTTTATCTCAAGTATAATACACTCGGATATTTCTAACTATTGATCATTTGTATCAAATTATTCTTGGAACTCATGTGCCCTTGCAAAATTTAGACTTTATTTTAGGAAAACATATTTGCATGACTTTTCCCTCTGCTCTCTGTGTTTTTTGTGTCACCCTTCATAAAAGCCTGTGATGTAGTACGTCAAGGGTGCCAGTTATTCGTATGTTGGTTCTCTCTGGTCTACTATGACTATTGTTTTTCTAACTCTTTTTTACCTCATTTTAATTCTTTGTATTTTCCTATGTTGTTTTATTCCTGACACTCTCTTCTTATTCCTTCTCAAAGATATTTGTTGTTTCTAGCGTGCCTCTCTGGCCAACTAATTTGCAAAGTCTGCCTGTTGCCATTATCGTTCTTTGGATGTTGATGGCTCTTCTCCACACTCTTTTATTTCAAGGAAAACTTAATCCTCACTGTCCTGTTTTTTCAAGTCTTCTTTTTTCAAGTGCAGAATGTAATACCCATTTGTAATAAAAAGGGACAAACACACACAGACCTTTCTTCAAACACACATAAGAGTGTTGAGGAGTTGTTGCTTCTACATAGCTAGAATGAGTCTACTTACATATCACCTTCAACTTCTTTTCACTTGGCAATATACCTTGGACATTCCTACCAAGTTATTATATATAGTTCTAGCTCTAGCCTTCCCTTCCCACGTGTGTGTGTGTGTGTGTGTGTGTGTGTGTGTGTGTGTGTGGTGTCTGTGAGAAAGAGAGAGAGTTAAATATCTTTTCTTTCTCCTTCCCTCCTTTTCCCTGTCTCTGGCCTACCACACATGGGTAACCCTAGTTAGATAACCTGATATATACCTTTCTGTACTTTCCTTTCACGTTCGGATCATATTTTATAAACATATCTATCATTGAGGATTTTACCATACTGGAGCTACTCACATTTCTCTATAGTTTACTTTTCTTCTATAATAAAACTTTGTGAATATTCAAGTCCACTGACAAAACTTTAATAATTTTTTTCAAAGGCATCATAATACTCCATGACATATTATGTATCTGCATTAACCACTCCGTTCAGGACAAGGATCCACTTTGGGGGTTTGGTTTTGTTTGAGGACTACTTTGAATCGTATCTGCCCACTTACTTTGCATATTAGTGATTTTATTCTATAGCAGTGCTATCTGACAGAAGTATAATGGAAGTCACATGTGATATAAAATTTTCTAGTGACCACTTTAAAAATGTACAAAGAAACTGGTAAGATTAATTTTAATAATGTATTTGACCCAATATATCCATGATATTATCATTTTAATGAATTATTTTATATTCTTTTTATTGAAATAAGCCTTTAAAATCTAGTATATATTTTATACCTAGAGCATACACTAAGACACTATATTTTTATTGGCAATACTCGGTCTGTATTTGGATTCCATATAATTTACAGTTGAAAAGGAAATGCATACACCCAAATTGTTCCAAACACACTCAAAAGCTTTCCAATAACTGAAATGAGTATCAGTTGTTAAAGTAAAATTTTAGTTCCTCAGTTCCACATATGAAATAGTTCCACAATTCAATTATTAGTAGCTACCATATTAGACAGTGCAATTCTATAAGATGGTTTTCTAGGTCCACTAAAGTGCCACATAGATTTGGTGTTAGTATATGTTGCCAGATTGCTTCTTGGAGAAATATGTTGTCTTGACTTTTACCTGCTTTGTGATATAATCTTTCCAATGTGTTTTATTCATCTACCTCTGTGTGTAGGTGTGATATTTCTTGTCAAATGCTACATGTTCACATAAATCTCATGCGGATTTCTTTTTTAATACTTTCCATCCTTGAACTGAGGAGGGCATATTATTCCTGCGTCATATGAGAAAGAACAGTAAGGGTACGGACAAGACGAACGAGTTGGTGACCACTTTGGACCTGTTGCATCCAGAAACCTTATCAAGCCCCTGTCCATGTTGAATGGCTCGGGACTGGTTGAAAGTTTCCATCCTCCCAGTGAAACCACTTCATGGAATTTTTGGTACATGGTGATGTCTCCACTTTTCTTTGGCAAACGTAAAAGCTAGAGGGCTGTTTGTTCCTCCTGATTTGTCCTACACTGACCTACCCATAGTCCTCTAAGATGGCAAAGTTGGGACATTTGTATGCTTCCTATATGTTCATTCAATTGTTGTCTGAGGTCACTCAATGCTGACAGCATGTTGCTGTGAATCTATGCACCCTGAGCTTCTTTCAAGACAAGGCTGTGACATCTATTTTGAAGAATTCTACACTCTGTCTAGTCTGCCCATGAAATTTGAAGTCCCCAGACTTCTCTCTGTGTCTATCTTGACACCAATACAGCTTTCACTAATCTGAAAGCCCTTTTTTTCAAATGTTTTTATTTATATTTGAGGAGAGAGAGACAGACAGAGAGAGAGAGAGAGAGAGAGAGAGAGAGAGAGAGAGCAAGTGGGGGAGGGGCAGAGAGAGAGGGAGACAGACAGAATCCAAAGCAGGCTCCAGGCCCTGAGCTGACAGCACAAAGCCCTATGTGGGGCTTGAACTCATGAGCGGTGAGATCATGACCTAAGCCAAAGCTGGACGCTTAACCAACTGAGCCATCCAGGCGCCCCTGAAAGCCCTTTTTTAAACACAGTATTGTGGGTCCAGATATGAGTATTTCCTACTTTTAATGAAAATGAAAGTTTGCTTTTCTGCTGCTTATTCTCATTTTCCGTCGGTTTGCAAAAGGAGAGGGAACCAGAAATGGCATTTCTCTCACCAATCCAGAAACTATGGTTCCAAACAAATTCTCTGGGCCTGCGGAGGCCTTATAGTCCCAGCAAAGAATAAATTGTAGCCATGGGGTATGGAGAATTTTCTTTGATTTTTTTTATATTCCATTGGTAAAATCAGTATATCCAAGCAGTGAAGTCTGAGTGAGAAGGTCTCCGTAACTACCCAGATTACTAACATGCATTCATTTTGCAAATGCTCCCAACTCATTGCTTTATATTTCTGTAGTTTAATGAGGCTGGTAGGCCACTGTGAAGGGCTTAAGATGTACACTTGCCTAGTGAGACTGACTTCCAATTACAGAACAATTCCCAAATCAGCCCTGCTTGTAAAGGAGGTATTGACGGACACAGTGTGCCAGGAACTACCCTAAGTGTTTTGGAGGCAGGGAAGGAGAGGCAATCGTTCACATTTTAAACAGGCAGGAGCACAGGACTTAAGAAATGTCTGGAACAGGTGCACCATATGGTGCTAATGAACCATATGGTCCTGAGAAAAGCTACTTTTTTACAACCTGTTACTTAATTTTGAAAAA